AAAAAAAAAAAAAAAAGGAGAGGGAGGGAGGAAGGGAGGGAGCCGGCCAGCCCCAGGTCAGCCTGGGTCCCTCCGTCAAAGACATGCTGACACCTTGTGGTCACCTAGTGTAAGAGGCATGTGTGAACCGCCCGAGGACAGAGAATCAGTACCATCTGCAGGGAAGGATGCCAACCCATGACGGTTCCACACCGTCTAGGGGTCCTACTAAAGAGGTAACGAGAAGCAGGTGAAATTCACCGGAATAACAAATTTTGGGTCAGCCGATGTAACGTTTCAGTGTGTCGTCCTCAGTACAAAACCCACGAATGAAGTATTTTCCATCCTGTTTTTAGTACCAAGTCTGAGATTTGATGAGCACTTAACACGTACGGTATGTGTGGGCACGGACCGGGTGCTTCGAGCTCCGGTGACCCCACGCGGCTAGTGGGGGCACGCTGCCCGGTGCGGCCAGACCCGCCGACTCCTGTGTTGACCCCGCCCCAGCCCCTCAGCTCCCCGCAAGCACACCCTGGGGCCTGCCTCTTGTTAAGGGTGGAGCTGTGTGACCCCTTCCACGCACCGGTGAAGAAACGTTGAAGTCCTAACGCCCCCGTACCTGTGTCGGTGACCGTATTGAGAAATGGGGTCTTTGCAGGTACAGTCCGAGTAAACGAGGTCATACGGGTGCAGGGTGGGCCCCAAATCCAGTGACTGGTGACCTTAGAAGAGGAGGAAACAGACGTAGACCCACCAGAGGGACATGTGACGATGGGGGATCCCCCGATGGGGGATCGTCGGGGGGCCCAGAGGCGGGAGGGGCAGGGAGGACCCTCCCCGGGATCCTGCAGAAGGGCCTGGCCTGCCGGCCCCCCGACTCCAGGCCGCCGTCTCCAGAACCGGGCCTTCAGTGTCTGTTACACCAGTTTGTGGGACTTGGTAACAGCAGCCCCAGGACATGCATCCGTCCGTCTGTCTATCTGGCTCCTGGCCGCCACCCTGGGAGTCCTGGTGCCCAAGTCGGCAGATGCCTCCCACGTGTCCATCCCATGGACATCAAGGACACGGTGGCCAGTCCCTCCTCCGGCCTGTGAGCCCCCTGAGCTACTATTTGTGGAGCCCTTACTGGGCCCAGGTGTCACCCCATCGGGCGGGCCCTATCGTCACCCCCATTTCACAGATGAGAAAACTGAGGCCGAGAAAGGCACCCGATCCCCAAACTTCAGTTACAGATTGAAGCCATTTAAAACCCAGAGGGTCCCTTTGTCGCATCCACTCTGATCCAGCCACTTGGGTGGCCCGTGGTAATTTTGAGGGGGCAGACGTGGGGGTCGCTTCTCCACTCCTGGTTTCCTGAGGCTGCGGGGCCCCCGGGCTAAGGGGGCGTCCTGCTCACTGGACGTGCCCAGGGTCTCAACAGATCTGCAGACTGGGCCACCCGCTGCTCAGTGCAGGCACAGGCGCCTTCCGCGGATGCGGGCGTAGGGAGCGGGGTCAGGGGCCCTCGGCCCGGCCGGCCGTCTTGAGGCCCCGGGCTCGTGCGCTGACCTTCTGGGTCACGGCCTCCGCCCCTGTGCGTGCTCACGCGGGCTATAGCAGGAAGTCGACTGAGCGTGCATCTCGGTAGGGCAAACGCCACCCGGGCAACGTGGGGCACGGATGCCTGCACGCGGGGCCCTGCACAGACTTGATCCTTTGCTCTGCTCTGGCATCGCCTGGGGCCTTCAGCCACGAGGCGGCCAGGTAACCCCGCGATGTCCCAAGCAGGGTGCTGGGTCAGTTTCTTTCTCTTTCCTTTTTCCCTCAAGTGTTGGTCCAGCCCGTCACGCCTCTCATTCTGCAGAGGGCGGGGGGCATGAATCGGGGAGCACGTCAGACCCTCAAGACTTTGGAGCTCCGGGCAGTGTCGGGTGGGAGCCCAGAAATGCCCGCCCCTGCGTGCTGAGGGGGGAAGGCGGTTTCTGCCGCCCGGGGTCCCCCAGCTCTGTCACCGCCAGTGTGCTCATCCTCGGGGACCCGAGGGCGCTGGCAGGCACACTGTAGCCCCCTGTTGTATTAGAGCCGGCAGAATTGAGGAAGATTGAGGAAAATTATTCTCTTGCCTGCCGCCTTTCCCAAGGCCAGAGGATAGTTTCTCTCACTGGGCCCCCTATTATTCGCACAGGGAGGGAGGGCGAGCCCCAGGGCCACAGGTGTTCCCGTGGACGGTCCGTGCACAGTCCAGTGTCTCCTCTGTCACCAGGGCTGGGAGTGGAAGCCAGGCGGCGAGGGGCGGCCTTGTAGTCTCCAGCCCGCGAGAGTGCCGGGAGCCGGCCTGCCGCGGGGCCCAGGCTGCGGTTGCCTGGTCCGCGGAGGGCGAACTGCGTGCAGGGGTTCCTGAAAGGGGGAGCTGCCTGCCCAGCCCCCCGGGACCAGGGGCTCCCACCCTTCTCAGACTCGTGGGTCAGGCCTGGGTTGTGCGTGACGTTACAGGGTTAGAACACAGGCTTTTCCCTGCGCGTCTAACCTTCTGGGCTCCCCACTGCACCTGCCTCCCCCTTGGGCTCCCACTTTTTCGGCCCCCCCATCCTGCCCTCTGCTCCCGGGACTCCTGCCCGGGGGTCGGTCTGGGGCCAGCCACGCTCTAAATCTGACGCCGATTTCCATCTCTCCGGATCAGCTCCTCCCTCTCGGAGCCCCCAGAACACCGGGGACCTTCTGATAGGGACTGGGCGGGTGGCATTGATGAAGGTTGGTTTTATTGGCCTTCCCCGGGCTCTCACTGCCGGGTCTGTGTGCCTGGGCCTTGGGGAGTTTTGTGTGTTTCTCTGGGAAGAGGAAACTCTTTCCAACTCAGGACACGGCGGAGCACCGCTCTTGCAGAGCGTTCTGGAAGGCAGGGAGCAGGCACCCGTGCGACGCTCAGGGGCTTTGAATGACGTGGGGTCAGAGTCAGTGGTGGGACAGAGCCACGTGTGGCACAGGATTCTAGAACCGCTTGTTAAAGAGTCAAGAGTTTTGCCGGGACTGGTTGTCCAACTGCCGGAAGCTTGAGACCAGGCCACCGCGGGGGTGTTTCCAGCTCGGGGATGGTGGACACCTTCGGCCAGGGCTCCCGTGTCCTGGTGAGCGGGTCTGGCCGCACCCTGCCGGTCTGCCCCAGGCTCTGGGGCCAGATGGACGCAGAGAACCCGCACTGCGCTCCGGCTGTCTTTCCTTAGGCGCTTCGTGGCACCTGTCGGGGACCCAGTGTCCTCACCCGCGGAGGGCGGGTGACGGTTTCCTCGGCACTGGAGGGCTGTGGTGCAGACCCGGCGAGACACGGGGTGTAAGCGACGGGCTGTCTTCAGTGCGTACTCTCAGGGGGACGGGATGACGGGTCCGCGCCTCTAACAGCATGACATTTCTCTTTCCAGGTGAATGCCACGGGCCCTCAGCTGCAGACAGTGGTACGGCACGTGCACTTCTCTCCTTTTTGTTTTGTGGGAGCGACGCAGCCCCTCGACGCTGTCCAAGCCCCTTAGAGAGCTGAACCACGGTTCCCGAGCCGGTGATTAGTAACAAGGCCCAATCATCAAACCCAAAGCCCTTCTTAAAAAGCTGGAGATCAGACAAAACGAAAGAGGAGGGACCTTCCCTGTGGGCAGCTGGGGCTTTCCACCCTGGCTGTGCCCCGGCTCCCCAGAAAGTGCTCCTTCCAGACATCCCTGCTCCCCTCACGGCTGGCGTCGGTCCACGTGGGCATCCCCTGTATTCTAAGGGGGAGGGGCCAGGTTTTTTTTTTTTTTTTTTTTTGAAAAGCAGGAGAGTATTTTCTCAGTAGGAAAGTCAATGACACATGTAAAAAGTTTTGAGCAGAAAAATGCTGAGTAGAAAGAACCTGGTCCTTTTAGACTTTGACACAGAAAAGTGGCAGAATCTCGTAACTTGTACCGTGAGCTGCCACACGCGGAACGTGGGGGGGGGGTG